CCTCAAAAGATGTCTGACAAATCTTGAGACAGTTTTAAGTTGTCACAGAAGAGGCAGCAGGAGAAGATGTTATTGGATTCTAGGGGTAGAGATGACTAAGGACATAAGATGGCCCTGAGGTCCAGAACAGTCCCATCCCAAATGTCATGGGAGTGTTTTAGTTACCTTTGTATCCTTGTTACTTGAGCACAATTTGAAGGGACAGTGTTTGCTTGGGCTCACCACATCAGAAGTGCCCATCATGTCGAGCAGAAAGCTCATTCACAACAGACAGGAAGCAAAGAAGGAATCTCTGAAAGGGCTAAGGCCAGGCCCAGCCCCACAGACACTCCCCTCATGACTTACTCCCTCCCTCTAGACCCTGCCTCCTACCTCTCAATACCTACTAGTCATGCCATCAGGTTATGAATCCATGAAGACATCAATCCACTGATTAGGTCTGAGCTGTTAGGATGCAACCATCTCTGGAGATATTTTTGTGTAACCTTTCCTAGGGAGATATGAGCAAATGCACTGGCTACAGACCAAGGAAACCATTCCACCAGAGTCTAGCTCAATTGACAGTAACTTCAGTGGGATAACTTAGAGGCATATATGTGAAGAGGTACTTGTTGGAGGGAGGGAGGCTGCTTGTTTGTTCCAGCCGCACAGAACCGAAATAATCACACAGAAAACTGTATTAATTAAATCACTGCTTGGCCCATTATCTCTAGCTTATTATTGGCTACTCTTACATGTTAATTTAACCCATTTCTGTTGACCTGTGTATGGCCTCGTAACTGTGGCTTACTGGCTAAAGTTGCAGCGTCTGTCTCTGGCGGAGCTACATGGCGTCTCTCTAACTTTGTCTTCTTCCTCCTAGCTTTCAGCTTAGTTTTTTCCACCTACCTAAGTTCTGCCCTGTTATAGGTCCAAAGCAGTTTCTTTATTAACCAATGGTATTCAGAGCACACAGAGGGAAATCCCACATCAGGTACTTAAACAGGAGCCTGTGGCTCAAAGAAGGTTTCATCACTGAAGAACTCACCCCAGCATGAATCACAGACAACTCAGAAGAGCAGTATCCGTGGAGCTCCCTGCATGACTTGCATGAAAATATCTAAGCCAGTGGGGGAGTCTCCTTTCCCCAGCTACTGTTTTGCTTGTATAACCTTTGGGAGGAGCCTTGTGAGTCCTGTAAGTTTTAAGATCTTCCTAAGTCTTGTGAGTTTCCTTTACTGAGTCTTAAGGACTGGAGAAGGAATATTTCAAGTGGGAAAACACTGCTGTTTTATAACCATCTCATAGAGACACCCAAAAGTGCATTCTACCAATCTCCTGGGTGACTCTCAATTCACCACACTGCCCCTATAGAGCCATCTAGGAAGGGACCTCTGCTAGAACAGCTCCTGGCCCAGGGATCACCAGTGTCAGGATTCCAGATGACTTATTTTGCAAAGAAGGGACTGGGGCATGGTGAGGCTTGGCATTCGGTTACAGGCAGTCAGGTTCTGGTTTGGGGCCAGGGTCTTTGTGACCAGGTATTGCCTCGCTCTGGCAGAAGCCCTCCTTCTGTCTGACTTTGTAAAAGCTCATTGGCTCCTCTCTCTGAGCTGCAGATGGCTTTGTGCTCACACGTGGTGCAGGGCAGGGCAGAGGGCAAGAGACTCTTTCCTTGTGGGCCAAGCCAAGACCAAAAGTCCATGGGAAAAGGTTCTCTCCAAGCCTTTCACAAGGCAGGTTCTCTCCTCCCTTCTTCACTTCCTGCTCCCCCCTACACACACACACACACACACACACACACACACACACACACACACACGACAGAAATGTCAGCAAAGACACAGGTGTCTGTTGGCTCCTGGCATCAAACACCAGTCTAGGGTGATTCGAGAAGGCAAGACGTACATCGAGGGCCGGAACTTCTCAGCATAAAGAGCACCCTGTGGCCTTCCAGCAAGGCTATGTTAACTAATTAATGAGGGATTAGTCTTGATGACAGAAGCTGGCCCTTGGGGTATGGTGTGATGAAAACCGCTGCATTCGTCAATGGACAAGGCTCATTTCCACTCAACCACTCTGAGGGGAAATAGTCCCAACAGCGTGGTCATTGGGACACAGAGGCAGTGAATTGGAGAAGTGACTCAGCCCAGAACAAAGGCTCCCAGAGACAGGGCTTGACTTGGGAGGAGGCGATGTCCTCTCCTTCTCCTGGAAGTGGGTTTGTGAGCTATTGGTTTAATTTTGTATTTTTTGTTGTTGATCCTCAAGATTCAAAGACCCAAGAACTGTGGGCCTAGACTGTGGGGTACAGCTACTTGTCTCATTGCACTGACAAAACACAACATGGGGAGGAAGCTTTATCTGGCTCACAGTTTGAGGGCTCAGTTCATCGTGTGGGAAGGCACAGTGTCAGGCATGCCTGATGATGGTCATATTCTAACCATAGTCAGGAGGCGGGGAGAATGAACACGGTGCTCATCCGGCTCTCTCATTGACTGTGGGACCCCAGCTCACAGAATGAATGGTGCCCCCCAAATTTAAAGTGGGTCTTCCCACCTCAGTTAACCCATTCTAAAAACTCCCTCACAGATATGTGCAGTGGTTTGTCCCCTAGATGATTCTAGAACCTGTCAAGCTGATGGTCAACATCAGCTGGCTCAGGATTGATCCCAGCCCATCCTTCCCCCCAAGACACTCACTGGGTGATGGCCACTGACACCCCTTTGCACTCACTGGGCCATCCCTAATGCCCTCCCACACCCCCTCTGAACTTGCTGGGCCATCCCTGAACTGCACTCAGAAGCTTTGGAGGAGGGGTAACAAGAAGAAGCAAAGGTTGGAAAAGGAGAAAGTGGAGTTTTCTAAGCAAGCAGGTTTCAACTACTAGGCAAGGCGAACGGCAGAACCAGGCCAAAACCTGAAAGAACCTCAGCACAGCCTCCTCTGCTACAGGGTAAAGCTGCCTGGGGACAAGATGGAGCTGCCATATCTAGAGATGGTCCCCCCACCTGACAACTTCCTGGGGCTTTGGGAAACAAGGTCAGGAGGGCCACTTCCACCTTAGAACCCCCTCAGGGCTAGAGGAAAAGTGCTACTTCCCAAACACATAGGGACACCAGTGCTTCTGATAATGACCAGTTAGACACAGTCATGCGCGCACACACACACACACAAGCGCATACATGCACTCTTACACATGCACACATGTACCCACACAGTACACATATGCACACACATATGTATTCACATGTGCACACACATGTATGCACACTTTATTTTTGGTATAACACTAAAGTCCCACCCAGTGCCTCACACACACTAAGCATTCTACAATTAGGTCACATCCCTGGCCCTGACCAATTTTATTTTTTTCTCCTAAAATGAAAAAAGTATACCTTGTTGGTTTCTGGAAGCTCTCTGACACCTGAATATAAATCCAGGAGAAGGGTGTGCTCCAGTTACACAATGCCACTTGTTTATCAACACAAGTATGAAGTTACATAATCCTGTGTGTGACTGTATGTCTTTCCAGTCCAGTCCCGGCACAGCAGCACAGTGGAGGCTGGCGGGGGAGGGGAGCTGTTTGCACTGGGACTTGGCCAGGTTAAGGCATTTCTTAAATCCCACTTGAAGGCCACTTGGCACCTATGGGAGTGGCTAGCTCAAGGACCCAGGAGCCCTTTCACCACTCCAAGTTCAAAGACTTGGACCTAAATGGGGGGATATGGTTGGCTGAGAAGGGGCACTTTGGACAATGACACGATGGCAGCCACCATGGGCAAGCACACTGTGCTGCAGCCAGACAGTGTTGGTGCTCGTGAAGAGGCCAGCTTGTGAGCCTGAGAAGCTGTCGCTTGGCCCCTGGGCTGGAACTCCAGAGCCAAAGCCAAATACCACCTGTCTAGATACGGGCTGGGAATCACCAGGGTCAGTGCTGATGGGTTCTGCCCGTTACTTCCGAGGGCCTTGAATGTTCTCATGCAGTTAGCTACACAAGCTGGTGGGAATGTTAGCTATAGGATGCTGGCAGCCCACCAGACAAGGTGTTGGGTGGAAACACTGCAGACAGACAGGGTCTGGGGACAGGGACAAAAGAGAACCTGGCTGACTGGAGGCTGGGGAGCCCAGGAGGAAAGACAGGCCATCCTCCAGGGCAGACAACAGCTGCCCCTGGAGCTGGGTCTCCTCCTCCTCTGGAAGGGAGACTTTAAAGACACCTACTGTGTGCAGGGGCTCTGCTAAGTCCTGGCGTGAGAGATCCGAAATCACTGGATTCTGGTCGCTCTGCAGAAGATACAACCTGCCTCAGAGGGTCAGGTCAGGTCAGGTCAGGTCAGGGTGTTCTGGAGCCTCCTTAAATTCTCTGAGAAAACAAACAAAACAAAACTCCACCAAACCACAGGGTACCATTCTCCCCTGGCATGCAGGGGTTCATTAGCTGACACCCACTCTCTCGCCGGTGGAAGGGATTGTCTAAAAACTCACAGGTGGGGGCAAGAGTCCTTGGGAGATGATGGTGGGGGAGGGGGTCTGCACCGGACAGACACCTGGGGAGGCTGGGGGCAGGAGAGGGTCCCAGGTGAGGGCCCTGTGTTTGATCTGTCAAAGAGACAGCAAAGTTAGCTCCGGGGCCTTTATTTAACGTGCAGTCTTGGGCACCTCCCCTCCGAGTAAAAAATCCTTTCCTCCCTCAAATTTAAAAAACCCATAAGACAAAAAAATAGAACAAACCCAAACAACAACGAAAAAAACCTTCAATTCTAAAGGGTCTCTGACCCCGGATAAAAATAAGACTCGGAATCCTTTCTTCCTGTGTTTAAATTTTTACGGAAAATCTGACCCGCGTGGCCACCGCCCCTGCGCTTATATCTTTAAGGCGGAGCCGGCGCGCGGCCAAGTTCACGGCGCGCGGGCGCCCTCGGGACGGGCCAGGTGGCGACAGCGCCCGGGAGGTCGCGAGGGAGGAGGGAGCGGCCACGTCCCGTCCGCGCCAGGCCAGCACCGCTTCTCCGTTGCAGAGGCCACCGGGGCCGTGGATGGGGAGCGCGCGGCCACCATGAGGATCCCCGAGAAGTACTCGACGCTCCCAGCCGAGGACCGCAGCGTCCACATCGTGAACATCTGCGCCATCGAGGATCTCGGCTACCTGCCGTCCGAGGGCACGGTGAGTTTGAGTTCGGGTGCGGTCACGGGCTACCTCCCCACACCGTGCAAGACGCTGGGGGCTCCCATCAACGCACGTGCGATCCGGAAACGCGCTGCTCCCCTGACCAAGTGCGCGCGACCCGCTGTACTCTGCGTGTCCTCCCACCCGCGGAACGCAGCGCCCGGGGTCCTCAGAGTGTCCCTGGGATCTTTGTAGCGCCCGGCCCAGGGTTTGCAGTGCCCCCCGGTCCCCGGAATACTCGGCCCGTGATCCCCAGAGTGATCCCCAGAGTGTTCCTGGGGTCTCTGCAGTACATTGTCAGGGGCCTCCAGAGAGTCCCGAGGTCTCAAGAGTGTTTCCGAAGTCCCCGTAAGCGCTGGACCTGGGTTTTCAGAGTATCCCCGAGATCCCCAAAGTGTCTCTGAAGTCTTCGCAGCGCACTGTCTGAGATCACTAGAGTGAACACAGCGCCCAGCTTGGGGTTTGTGGTGTCCCCAGGGTGCCAAAAGTGTCTCTCGAGGTCTTTGCAGCTCCCAGGGTCCCTAGAGTGTCCCGGGGTCCCCACAGTACCCGGCCTGGGGTTCCCAGTATTCTGAGCATATAGTCCAGGCCCGGGTGGGACTCTCCTTTCCAGATTCTTGGCCAGGGGCGCCCCAGGAGCATCAGAATGGGTGGGAGCAAAGGGCAGGGACCAGGTGGCCACCAGGTTGAGCAAGATCACTGTGCCGCCACCCGGTGGGGCTGAGTCCTGAGATTCCACTTGCCAGCAGCGCGAGTCATGCTGGGGGGGGGGGGGGTTAAGTGAGACCAGCTAGATTACCTATCTTGTCTGGGACCCAGTGCCCTAGCCATGGGCAGGGTGGAGCCAGTCACCTGGTTGGGGAACTTATCATTGTCCCTGCAGCCAGACCCAGCAGGACACAGGGATCCCTGGTGGCACGGGGTGGTGGGGTGCGGTGCGGGGGTGGGGTGGGGTGGGGGTGGTTTGCAAATTCACCCCTGATGAGTTTGGTTTAAAGAACAAAGTTTCCCAGTGGGGGCGGGGCACTCTCGGAGGGAACCAAAGAGCAGAAACTTCTTTCTCTTCCTGTCTCCCCTCAAGGTCCTAAGATCCAGGGAGCAGAGTTGTCCAATGTCTAGGGCAGCCTGGAGCTCTAAGAGTGGAGGGCCCAGCTTGGGGGATTGCTCTGACCTGTTGTAGCCTGGGGCTGGGAACCAGAGGGCCCAGGGTGGATGCTGTCAGAGGCCTGATTGAAACTCGGGCTGGGCAGAGCAAGCTCAGGCTGTGGACAGTCCTGGCATTCCTGAGGTGAGACAAGGGGGCTCTACTGGGTGGTACCCAGAGTTCTGGGAGTCTGGACCAGGAGCAGCTGTTGATGACAGGTACCTTTCCTGTCATGTACAGGATGGGAACAGCCTTAGGAGCTCAGGGGGACATTTGAACATAGCTGTGGGTTGGGCCTTGCTGGGCCTTACTGGCCCCTGTTGGCCCCTGGGCACCCAGAAAGAGCTACAGACAGGAAAGGCTCCGCTCTTCCGGAGCTTAAGGAGTTCTGATGGAATGCTCTCCTGTTACCCATGATAGGAACAAAGGACAAGTGTGGACAGCACAAATTGGGCCAACTGTGTTTCTTAACTTGTTTAACTCAAAACAAGAAGGTGGAGTTGGGGAGGGGGTGCTGTTAATACAAACCTGGAAATTAAGGCTAAGAGGGACAGGTGACTCCTTCCAAGTCACTCACCAGTTAAAAGACAGCTGAGGTAGACTTCAGGCAAGTCTACCTAGGAATGGATATGGTGGGGGGCAACTGGGTGGCATCCATGATAGGGCACCCAGAGGTGGGAACATGGGGACTCCAGTTGGAGTCACAGGGGAATGGTGGTTGCCAAGCTAATAAAGAGGTGTTATTGTAGAGGCGGTGCCCATGGGAGGGGACTTGAGCATGAACAAACAGTCTGAAAAAATGGCCTTGGGCACTGGTATTCCCATCCAGAGACCTGTGTCCACACCTAGCCACCATCAGCGCCCCTCAAACCAAAGAGGTCACTAAGGTCTGGATCTCATTCAAAGTCTTCACAGTCCTGAGGACTGAAGGAGGCCAGGGGCCCTTCTTTTGCACTGAGCTTTTCCTAGATGCTTGCATGATTTTGCTGGGAGGGCTGTGGCCCTGGGTTCATGTACAGGAAAGACAGGTCATACTCAGGGATCATGCTGCAATCAGAAGCTCTGAAACCTGAGATTCCCAGTATCCCCACACAATCTAGCCACTGCTGTTAGTCATCATACAGTCACCCAGAAGAAGCCCAGTGCTCTCAAAGGCCAGAGGGTTTGGGCTGCACCTCCTTTTCCTAGAAGTGCAGCCTTAGACAAAACCCCACAGTCCCACACTGCGCTTCTCAGACTGTCCTCCTGCCCTCTCCATTTCAAGGGAAGGGGGGCAGATCATTCCATTGGTTCCGTCAAAGAGGCAGACCAGGGGAGCAGCTGGGAAGCCAGGGGCCAGGTGAATGTAACTGGTTTTGTTGTTTTCTCTGGTCTGGTCTTTGAGCGTATCTGTCTTTAAGGCAAGTTCTCCATGGCCTGAGATGCCTACATCCAGAAATACCTGCGTGTGGGTGTTAACCCACCTGCTGGGGCAAGGGCCTAGGCTGCTTATCTGCCATCAGAGACTTCTGTTTAGAGATTCCTGGGCAAGCCCAGTGATCGGAAATGGATAGCTTGTGCTTATGAGTCAGGCGAAAACCGTCTGGAATAAAACTGAAGTTTTACATTGCTGTCCCCCCCCCCCCCCCAATCAGGACATGGTGGCCTCTGGCTGTAATCCAAGAGCTGGAGAATCGTAGGCTGAGAGTTTGAGACCAGCTTGGGCTACAGAGTGAAACCTTGTGTCAGAATCAGTCAGCATGACGAGCATGCTCCTCGTCATCCAAGACCCAAGTCTTCGGGTCTCTGGTTTCATCTCCCCCTTTTAAAAGAAATTCTAGGATTTTTAGATTCCTTCAAAAGCGCCAATATTTTGTCACAGGCCGTTTGAATTTGGCCTGGGCTCCAGAAAGTGGAGGTTTTTGAAGAAGCTGGTCTCGGCACGTTTAGGTTGTGAATGTGGGGTCCTCCATTGTCTCCCTTCTCTACTCAGCATCTTGGGGGCAGCTGGCCTGACCTTCCCTGTTTGCGGTGCTGGGACAGGAGCTGCACTCTATCTTTCTCTCTAAAGCCTTCCCCTGAGGAAGCTCTTTCTAGGAGCTGTTCCTCCAAACACCCAGGAGACAACCCCTACAAGTGAAGTGTCCTTCCCATTCTCTATGGCCAAGGCAATAGAGGTACCTATACACACACACACACACACTTTCTCTCTCAACCAGCTAGTAAAAGGGCACTAAGAAACCCCTTTCTTTTCATTCAGGTGTCCCCTCTTTTTGTTTTGTTTTGTTTTTTGTTTTGTTTTGTTTTTCAAGACAGGGTTTCTCTGTAGTTTTAGAGCCCGTCCTGGAACTAGCTCTTGTAGACCAGGCTGGCCTCGAACTCACAGAGATCTGCCTGCCTCTGCCTCTCTAGTGCTGGAATTAAAGGTGTGCACTTTTTCTTAATCATAGAAAACGAGAATATTTGAAGGTTACACATAAAGTCCAACCCATATCCCTCCTGTTGCAGTTTACATAGTTTTGTCCTGTTCTATACAGGGAAGAGGCATGTGGACTCACCTGGTGTCTGCAGCTTCTGTGGGATTTGCCATGTCTTCATCTCTGTCTCGCAGGCCCCCAGAACAGCCCTGCAGGTCCTGTGGGTCCCAGGCTGGCACAGAGAACAGCTGGCAAGGAGCCCACTTTCTCTAGAAGTTGCTACCCACTGACCCTGAGTGAAGATGGCTTTTTCCCGTTTTATAAAGGCAATACCTACACAGTTTCCCTGGTACAACAGGACAAGACACCAAGGGACGGCTGTGCTGCTACTGGGGCCACCTCCTGCTACCTACACCCCCTTTTGTCAGTTTTAAAATCCCAATCTGATACCCTTTCGCCTTTCTCTTATGGCCCACTCTGACAGTAAAGTTCTTTTTCTCTGCCCTACCTGTGTGTGTGCGTGTGCACGTGCGTGCATGCATGTGTTCCAGAGGTTGGCATTTGTTGTCTTCCTCTCTCACTCCCCACTTTACTTTTTGAGACAGAGCTTGCCGATTCTGTTAGACTGGCTGGCCCGTGAGCCTCTGTTCCCTCCCCAATACTACGATTGCATTCAGTGCATGCTGCACCCAGATTTTTACATGAGTGCTGCAGACCGGAACCCAGGTCCTCATTCTTTTTTTTTTTTTAATATTTCTTTATTTATTATGTATACAATACTCTGTTTGTGTGTATGCCTGCAGGCCAGAAGAGGGCAGCAGACCCCATTACAGATGGTTGTGAGCCACCATGTGGTTGCTGGGAATTGAACTCATTCTTGTGCCAGTAATTTTAAGGACAACCACCCCATCCTTTTTCTTTCTTCATGCATTCAGCTCCCAGAGAGATCGTGTGTCCCTGGGGCCACAAAGTCTGCTGGGGCCTGTGGTGGTAGATACTTTATGGTAAACACCGACTCCTTCCACCAACACTGCCAGCAAAGTCCTGGATGAAGGAGGAGGGCTTACTGACATGTGCCTCGGGAAGGGGAATCCACATTGTAGGGACAGTGCAGTCAAATCATGGCTGAGTTGGTCTCTGAGCACAGGCAAGATGAAGCTCACTTTGGCGGCTGGGCCTTTCCCTAGCACTGGCAGACCCCTGTTGGGGGGCCTAAGAAGACCAAGATAGGTGGCGATTGCTCATGTTGGATCTGACCCCTGCCTCACCTTGTAGAATCCTTGGTGGATCCTTGGGGTCATTTCCCTGACTGTCTGGCAGAAAGGCTCTGACTGTCCCTTTCTCTAAGTCATGGCTGTCCATCTTCTTCAATGGTAGCCATTGTTCTGGCTCTGAGTGCGGGTGTGGTAGGGCAGTCCCTGGTCTAGCCTCAGGGCTCATGCTAAGGAAAGTTAGAACTTCTTGGAAGGTGGTCCACAGGAGACCAACATGGTACCTTGGATCCTAGACAAAGAAGCTTGGAAACCAGTTAGAAGGACGAAGAAAGGTGGGGCAGGAGAGGGAAGCTGATTTGATTATGCAAGGGGGAAGGCAGGTAGGAGAGGCAGGACACATGTGAGGTCCCAGCTTCAGGAATTGATACCAGGATTGTATTTGGAAACGGAAGTAGGAGACCTCGGCACCTCTGGTCAGGATGCCAGCAAAGGCAGGCATGTCCTCAACCCCCAGTATATGCCCAGGGTAGCTCGGCATGGCCATCCTGCCCAGCATGGTCCAGGGACTCCTTGTCTTCCAGGGTTCTCTGTTGGAGCCTGGCTCATCTTCCCCTTCAAGGCTTCTCTAGCAGCTGGTACCCTGTGACTTTGCACTTCTCTGCCCTTCCTGGGATTCTGAGAAGGACCTGCCTTTGGTCCCCGGGTTGGAGCTAGGCTGACAGGCATGCCCCCCAGGTATATTCTGGGCCTGCTTCTGCTCAGCAGCAGAACCTTCATCAACCTGGCTAATCCTCCTGGCAGGAGGTGGCCCTACTGCCCTTCTAGACTCTCAGCCACCCAGGGCTCCCAAGCTTGGATCTGGCCTGGTCACCTTCAGAGCCTGCAATAAACCACTGTTGTTTCTGGGTCTCCCTGCCAGCCCCTGCTTGCTAGCCTGCCTGGTGGCTCGGGAACTTCATGCTGGGATGGAGGCACACTTCTGGCTGTGCCCCTCAGTTAATGAGTCAGAACCAGGATCCTAGGGTAGTGGTTGGGGTTTTGGTACCCAGGACATTGAGCTGGTCACCTGGGGCCTATCCCCTAATTTCTGCCAGGTCAAGTGGACCTAGCAACAGAGCTCCTTCCATGTGTGGGACATTTGAAGACAGGGTGCCCCATTCTTAGAAAGAGTGTCACCTTTTCTGTGAAGGGCAGAAATGCCTTGAGTGTGTGGACAGGATCCAAGGCTATGCCTAACCCATGTCTACCCCTGACCTGGGGCCCCTGTCCCTCTACAGACACATATTCTCCTTGGTGGCTGAGGGCAGATGTTCAGATTCCCATAAATTTAGCTCTTTACTGGGCCAGAGCATCACTCCTGTTTTCCTCAAAAGCCAGCCTTGATCTGGGGGTGTGGGTCAGTAGGTAGAGTACTTGCTAGCATCCATGAAGGCCTGAGGTCTAGCCTCAGGTCTGCACGTACTCCAGCTGCAGCACTGGGAGGGCAAAGGCAGGAAAATCTGAAGTTTAAGGTCTCCATAACAAGTTTCAGGCCAGCCTGGGCTACAGCAGCTCTTGCTTCAAAAGAACCAAACCGAAATAAAACCAACCAGCCTGAGCTCCCCAGAGGCCACCATGTTGACTCTGGCCCATAGGCGCACAGATGGCTACTCATAAAGAACAGGAAAGAAACCCTACTGGAGCACTTTGGGAAGAATGTCCACACTGTTCAGGGCCCCGTGGAGGTCACCAGGGTAGATGACACCCCAGTCGCCATGAAGGAAGTAGATAGAACCCTTCCAGCCTCTTTCAGCTATGGATACTGAGTGGACTGTTGACCCTGCTCTCTCCACAGGACAGTCTCTTGGGGTAAGGATGCTATGATGCAAGGTCATGACCCCCCTGGCCCCGGTAGCTGGGCTCTGCTCAAGGATCCTTCTCTCTGCCCCCCTCTCCCTTATCCCCCTACTCCCTTGTCATAGCCTACTGTTCCTTGGAGGAGGATGTTGTCCTGCTGCTTCTGAGGAAATACATGGCCCTTCAGAGTCACCAAGTAGCTGGGGACATCCTCCTGGGGGAGGTAGGCAGGAACTTCCCAGCTGCTGGTGTATCAGAGTCGAAGTCAGACCAAGGCCAGGCCTCTGGTTACTAGTGGAGCTTGAGCCCCTGACATGGACAGGATGGGATGGAGTGGGTGAGAGGGACAAGAGGCACTATAGAAGGCCAGAAGGGGACATGGAAGGGAGTGGAGAATCCTACAACCGGGACTATAGTAACAGGTGTCCAGAGAAGGGAGCAGAACCTAGCAAACAAATCCTGGGGAAGACTTATGTCTTCCAATACCATGCAGAGGAAACTGAGGTCAGGACGGCAGCCAGTGTTGAGGGAATCTCCACCCAGCTTATGGTCTTTCAGTTTGGAAAGGGTTCCTGGAGGAGGCATCCTGGATGTGGTGCAGAAAGAGACCTGTAGGTAGCTGTAGCTGCTGGCCATTGTGTTGGGCCTCACGTGCCACCAGGGAGGACCTAGCTGGTACTGTCCTCCTCACCACTCTGTGTGGACCAAGAGCTGGCATAGGGGGAAGGGTAGTGTCTCTGCATGGACCAAGAGCTGGCATAGGGGGAAGGGTAGTGTCTGCTCTGCATGGCCGTTAACCTCTGGGGGAAAAAACTGCCGGAATCAGGTGTTCAGCTCTGGGGACAGCTGGCAGTTCTAGGATATTCCTCAGGCTGTGTCCCAGACTGGATCTCAGTCTTCATCCTTCCATGCTAGAGCCCAACACTAAGACTGGATTTCTGGAGGATCCAGGGTGTATGAACAAGAGCCTCACACATCTGAGCTCTGATCACACAGCTAGTTGGTGGCCCTGGAACCATCATCGTGTTGCCTGGATGCTAGCTGCCAGAGGTTGACATTGTGCCTGCAGTTAACTAAATTCAGCTCTGCCCGCCCTCAGACCCTGCCCTACATCTGTCCTTCCAGGGGCCCTCACTTTGTGGCTTTTCCAGTAGCTTTTGCCAGGAGCCAGACAGGACCTTCCCATCCAGAGACCAGGATGACCTATTGGTGACCAGGCATGACTTGACATTCTCGGGGGAGACAAAGACCTTCTTCTAGAGTGTGGGCCCCAAGAAGGCCATCCCATCTTCTATGTTTGAGCCCATAGGACTGGGTCTGGCTCTCAGTGGGCATCTATAGGGGAGGCTGTCCCTTGGTATAGCACAGAAGTGGCTCATGATCCCTGAGATACTGAAACCCACAGGTGCTCAAGTCTTGGAGGATATGGGACAGCCATGCTGGGGGCAGCTTGCCACATAAGCAAAAGTACCCGAGCTTGGATTCTCAGCACATATGATAAAAAGCTGGACATGCTGGCATACCTATAATCCGAACACTGGGAGGGTATAGGTAAGAGAAATTCTGAGCTCACTGGCCAACCAGCCTAACCTAATGAGAGAGCTTCGGGGTCAGTGAGAGACCCTGTCTCAATAAACAAGGATGATGGTTAAGACTCCTTGTTTTGCTCTTGCAGAAGACTTGGGTTCTGTTCCCTGCATTCACATAGAGGATCACAATCACCTGTAACCCCAGTTTCAAGGGGTCTGGTGCCCTCTTCTGGCCTCCATGGACACTGCACACTCATGGTGCACATACATACCTGCAGGCAAACACTTATACACATAAAAAGAAATCTTAAAAATGAAATGAAACCAAGGAAGATGCTTGTTGTCAACTTACAACTTTTGCACACATGGGCAAGTTCAGAAACCTGCGGGTGCACACACACACACACACACCCAAAGGAAAATTAAGTAATATGGTGGGGTATTTGTGTAGAACCTGTGCACAGTGGTGATTTTAGTGAGGCAGAAGTGTATGCAGGCTCTCGGTACAGATACAGGTGTTTCTAAACGTTTTATAACAGGGATTTCTTAGGTTCTGGCTGCATCAAGGGGACTCTGAAGTCTAGCATGTTTGCCGAGTGACTGGGGGAATAGGTGAGCGCAGTACCCAGCTAAAATCATATTCCCAGAGGCCCCCTGAGAACCACTCCACACTGAACACAACTCTCTCTCTCTCTCTTGCCTCACAGCTGCTCAACTCCCTGTCTGTGGACCCTGATGCCGAATGCAAGTATGGCCTGTACTTCCGGGATGGGAAGCGCAAGGTGGACTACATCTTGGTGTACCATCACAAGAGAGCCTCGGGCAGCAGAACTCTGACCAAGAGGGGATTGCACAATGACATGGTCATGGGGACCCGCAGTGTCAGGCAGGACCAGCCCCTTCCCGGGAAGGGGAGCCCCGTGGATGTGGGCTCACCCGAGGCCCCCATGGATTACTACGAAGATGACAAGCGCTTCAGACGGGAGGAATATGAGGGCAACCTGTTGGAGGCCGGCCTGGAGCTGGAACATGACGAGGATGTAAGTGTGACCTCGTGTGGGCTGGGGATAATAGGTCCACGTAGGCTGAGCAGGTCTGTTTGCAGAAGGCGGTGGGGGCAGGTTAGCTCTGCTCGTGGGGCCATAGTGGACTAGAAATTGCTTCTAAACAGCTCTGGGAAGTCCCAAGCCAGCCTCCTCCTCCAGCAATTGCATCTGCCTGGGGCAGAGCTGGCCAGTGACTATGACCTTGAGGTCAGCGCATTTCCTGCCTCAGTTCAGCCAGTGCCCAGCATGGGAAGATTTGCTGGGTCAGAAGGACAAAGTGTGGCCTGTTCTGGGGGCTTCTCGTGGGTGTCCTCAGTCCTTCTCCAAGCCTTAGTTCCTCAACCTGTGAAAGAGATCGGTCTGTAGGTTCTTAGGGTCCCTGCTCTGAAACCTGCATCTCTGTAACACTGTGTTCAGGAAGTGTAGAAGTTTTGGTAAGAGAAGTTTCTAGACAGAACAAAGGCTCCACTGTCTCTTTCACTGCCTGCTGAGGCAGCCGAAGAGAGTGGCTCAAATCATTGCAGCTCTGAACTACTCAGCCAATTGCTGTGTGCTTCCTGGTTGACATCTTACCCACTCAGCATGAGTATGCATGGAGAAAGGCCCTGCTCTGTAAGTGAAATCCCAGTGCTCAGGAGACTAGCAGGAGGATTGAGAGTCCAAAGCCAGCCTGGGCCACACAGCAAGAGACTATTTAAAAATAAGACGGTGAGGCTGGTGACAGCTCGGCTGCAAGCACGAGGACCTGAACTTGGCCCCAGAATCTATGTAAAGAGACAGGCATGGTGACACACACTGGTAATCCCAGACCTAGGGATGGATACTACCAGAGGGACCACGGCTGAATTTGTCCTCTGACCTACACACACACACACACACACACACGCATACATGCGTCTGTGCACGCCGCTGAGGTTATTGTCCAGTGTGACACAGTATTGGGGTATTGTCCACCTTCTTGGGGTTGGACCCCCTGGCAGGTATTTGCAAACCCCTCTGCATGTTCCCTGTGGCAGTCTTAGGGTGCTTAGGGGAAGTTGGGATCAGGCAGCGAAAGTCTGAGGTTGGCGAGGACTCCAAGGCTACTGGACCCCCAAGGCTGGCAGCTAGAAAAACATGGGTGTTGCTGATCCTCTGTGATTTCTGTCACTTCGAGCAGGGTTGTGTCTGGCTTGTCCTTGTACTCTCAGGCCACCCCAGGGCTTTTGAAGCACACTGCTGCTGTGCAGAGTCTATGTGCAGGGCTTTTATTCCTGGAGGAAGGAGAGGGTCTTTCAAAGGCTATGGGTTCCCCTGACCCGAGCCACCACTAAGACATCCAGTGCCTGTGTTCATCTCCATGGCTGTCTCTTGCATGGGTTCCTCTTTCTATCTGTGAGGTTTTTTCATGGAGCAATTTGAAGCTCCCAGGTGTGGGCCCTCTGACACGGGGTGACTTAGACTGACTTGTCAGAGCTCAGCCTCTGAACCAAAGGCCTCAGTTTTCCCTTCTGGAGACTGAAGGTAGCAACAGCCTTCAGGCAACAAAATTGGGCACAGAGCACATCTTTGCTGGTTGGGATTCCTGTTATGTCCAAGTTCAGCCTGGGGGTGCACACCTGAGAGAGGCTGAGGTGAAAGAGAATGGTGATGTTGAGGGCAAAATCAAAACAAAAACCTGCAGGGTGGGAGAAGGGGGAAGCTGGGAGAGAAGGAAAGGCAGGGAGAAGGAGGTTTTAGTAAGTGATGGTGTCTCTCTTCTTAAAACATGAGGGTTTTGGTGATTCTTAGGGATTTTTTTTGTTTTTTTTTTTGTTTGTTTTTAAATGACCCCAAATTTCACAGACAGTTTGGCTCTGGAGCTGAAGAACACTTTGTAGCAGTTGGTTTGGTTCTTTAAAAAACAAACTATGAGGTGCTGAAGAGAGGTCTCTGTAGTTAAGAGCTCTGGCTGCTCCTGCAGAGGACCCAGGTTCAGTTCCCAGCACCCACAGAGTGGCCCACAACCATCTGTAACTTCAGTTCCAGGGGATCTGACGCCCTCTTCTGGCCTCCCCAGGCTCCTGCACACACGTGGTGCACAAACATGAAGGCAAATACTCCCATAAATGTTTTTTTTTAATTAAGTCAAAAATGAAATATGGGACTGGGATGGAGCTCAGCTGTAGAGAACTTGCCTAATATGCCTGAGAGCCTGGAGTCAGTCCCTGACACAAAAAGAAAGGCACAGGTACATGAGACAGTCCAGGTTTTCTGGTGTGTGTGTGGGGGGGCGGTGTTCATGCATTCGTGTGTATGTACCTGCCTATGTAGCTCAGAGGATAGCCTCGGCTATTGGTGATCTTGTTTAAGACAGTCTCTTTGTTGATTGCCACTGTGCTGCATAGCTCAGGCTATCTCTCCTATCTGTCTCCCATCTTGTTGTGAGTCCTGGGTTACAGACGCATGGTGCCACACCCACCTTTACATTGGTTCAGGTCCTCATACCCACACAGCAAGGGTTGATGCACTGAGCCATCTTCCGGCCATCCACCACCACCACCTATTTGTGAGGACAGCGTTTCTCTATGAACCTAGGATTGCCGTTTCAGCTAGACCGGCAAGCCAGCAATGCCCCAGGATCCACAGGTCTCTACCCGCCTGTGCCAGGGTTACAGGTGCACACTGCCACATCTGGTTTCTGTGAACTAAGCCTGAGTTCGTCCAGGTTCTAGTTCAAGCTTCCTACGCAACAACCCTGAGTGGTCTCCCTGCTGAGCCTTGAAGCTATCACCTGGTCCCACTGGCCTGCTGGAAGCTTGTGAGATACAGGCCTGGCAGGGCCACAGTTAGCATCTTCTGCTTGCTGTCCTGGGTGGAGCAGAGGCTGGGTCTAGACGGGCTGTTTGGACATGCATGGCAAGCCGAGATGTGAGTGGGCCCTGGCTGCCGAGATTAGCAGGCACGGCCAGCCCAGCAAGGTCAGGCTTGTTTAGGGGTGAAGAGCTAATGAGCTGCTCCCCGGGTGTGCTCAGATAACAGGGAGCCCGAGGGCTGGCAGATTTTGAAATGAGAAAGCCTATAACGGGATCCCCCAATTTGAGGCAAAAATGTCAATGTTAGGTGTCTTCTGTGGGGATCTGAGCAGGTACCCCCAAACTCTGTGCCCTCCCCACATCCCACACTAACTCTTGTGCCGTTGAAATGGGTCTCCCAACCTGCATGCCATGGCATGTGACCTTTAACCACAACCCTAGCCTCTGCTGGGCTGGCGATGGCTCTCAAATCCTGAAAACTAAAACTGTCCCCTGTGATGTTGCCGAAAGTGTCTGGGGCCCTAAATCACCACCAGCCAAGGGAACCCCGTTTCCACGGCTGGATGGGGAGGTGAATGATGACCTTGAAGGACATGAAATATCCTGTGTGTGCCATCAGCCACCTCTTGAGCTGTCACTGACCACAAGGTAGCATTGCAGAGGTTCACCTGGCTTCCTACAGGCAGTGGGTATACACTACATTGCTTCTGCTGTTACCAAAGTGGGGGTCACAGTCTGTACCCAAAAACCACATTGGATCTCTGTCTCTCAGAGGTTGTGGGGGAGGTCTAGAACTGGGTAAGTAGGGCAGGCTGGCTTCAAACTCCCAGAGATCCTCTTGTTTCTACCTCCGTATGCTGGGTTTAAAGATATAATTCCAGCACTCTGGGACTTTTTCTACTTTTTGCTATTAAGTTGGCTGTTTCAAATTGGCTTCTTGAAGCTGGATGGCTGAACTTGGCTGGGAGCAATGTCCTGGGAGCCCCATGCAGACCAGACCCCCTCTGCTTGCTTTCTCACTGAGACCACTTTGCTATCCTGAGGTAGTAAGGATGACAGGTGTCCTGTGATACTGCTAGTGGACAAGGAGCAGTGCTTAACCACCAGGTGACAAGTGTGCCCAGACGTGTGGTGACTTAAGACAGCAGATTGCATCTCTTTACGTTCTGGAAGCCACAGGTCGGAAGTCAAGATGTGGGCAGAACTGTACTCTGCCTCCGCTGTTGTAGCTCATATGTCCCCTCCTTGTCACAGACAGTCCCCTTGTTTGGGGTCCACCCCATCCCAGTTCAGCTTTATCTCAGCCTTCTGACATCTGCAAAGACCCTCTCTCCAAATAAGGACCCGCCTCAGGCCGTAGCATTTGAGCAGCTGTGAGGGAATGCTTTCCTTAAACCTCCCTCAGGAGTAAAGCTCTGCCCTGGAGTGAAGACAGGGCAGGGTGGCCAGCGGGCCAGCAGAGGCTTCAGAATCTGAGGCAGAGAAGTGGGGCTCACAGCCTAGGCTAGGAACAGGTCTGCCTGGAGCTGGCCTGCCTCCCCATGGGGCCAGAGTGTACCCTGTACACCCACAGGCTCCGATTCAGCAGTCCTGAGGTCCTAGACTGTCCCCTGAGTGGTAAATGAAGTAACTTGGCTCCCTGAATGCACCCCCAGAAAAGGGAGGAGCGCCCCTACCCACTGCTCAGTCCCGAGAGAGGCTCCCATGTGACCGCAGAGCCCATAGGGTAACTCTCTTCCTCACCCCCACACAGAGGGAGCCTGGGTGAGCAGAAAGGACCAATGCTTTGCCCCACAGGGGTCTTTCACCACCTGCTGCCCTTGAGGGGTCCTGGACCCCTGGATGAACTACATGGTGGGGAGTGGCAGTCCTTTATCTTGCTTTCTCTCGCCTCTTGCCCCCCCCCCCTTTGTTCTTTTCTAGCTCTTTTTCTGCCCTGCTCTCTGCCTCCCTCTCTCCCTCCTCCCCCACTTCCCTCTCTCTTTCAGTCCTTGTTTCTCTCTCTCTCACACACACACACCACCTCTCTCTCTGTGGGGTCAGCATCCAGGGTTCCCATTAAAGAGACAAGAGAAATTTGTGACCAATGTGTTTTCCTCCAAGAAAAGCCATTAGCATTTTTGAAGCGGAGCCTCAAAGCCGGCTGAGTATTATTTATGTCTTTGGGGTCATTGCTAAGAACACCACAGGCTTAAGTCCTGGCGTGTCTATGGGGGGTGC